TTAATACATAATAATATAAAAATTGAATCTTGAGCATTATTTAAAAGTACTGTAAAAATATTAACAAACTAAATACAAGAATTGAGTTTTTGTCAGTCTTAGAGTCTTCTATGATGCATTTTAAAAAAAAAGAAGTTAACATTATCTACTGTTTATAAATATAAGAGCTGGTTAAATATTCAATTTGGTTTTAAATATAGGATCTCAATCCACTTGGTCTCTCATATTGATTTATTTTTTCTTATATATAGTAGTTACATGATAATTATATATGTTAAAAAAAATTTCATTCTAATACACATGGCTGACAAAAATATTTTAGGAAAACCAGTATTTATTTATTATAAATAACTAACTTAACTAATTTATTTAGTATTTACAAATTAGTTATCTAGTTTTTGTAGTGGTACTCATTCGGTTCTATTTATAAGGCACTTCTAACATATTTTACACAAAATAAGAAAAACTTTAAAATGCATTAACTTTTTATTAAAATATAATAATTTTTTAATTTTATCCCTATTTAATATATACATTTTTAAAAAAAGATAACTATCTACACAATAATAAATGAAGACCAAAATAATATATTCAGACTAAAAATTTAATAAAATAATTTATAAATATGACTAAAATTTTTTTACTTTCTATCATACAAATAGGTTCACAGGAGTATTATTTTTTGAACATGCACAAAAATGCTAATAATAATATATATTAATTTTTTTGCCTAATAATAATGGTATTAAATATGTCATGCGTATAGTCTTGGTCAAAAAAATATATGTCATGCGTATAGAATGCGAACCGTACACTGCTAATCTGCTGTTGTTATTGAATACTAGTACTGCCATAAAAAAAAAATTTATGAACTTTGTAGTCAATAATGCTGCTTATCTCTGACTGGGTCAAAGAGGGATGCTTGCTTGGGTTCCCCGTTGGGTTTCGTTAACGATAACACGGAGAGCGAGAGAGAGAGAGAGAGAGAGTGATGAGAATAACATTGACAATGGAGCATCGTCTGTAGTATGCAGTGGTCCCCACCGCAGGAATCCCGCTTTAATGGAAGTGGTGCTGGGTAAGAGATTCTCGAAGATACCCTAGTGGAGCTGCCCCCACCATTAATTTATGCTTATTATTTTATTATTATTTATTAACCAGTTTTATTTTATTAACTCATCCCCCTGCCACCTTCCACGTAGCTTCCTTCTGCGCCCTCCCGTTCTTTTCCCCTCCAAGAGCTTAAGTTTTCTTCCCATGACAAACCAAACAAAAAGGAGTTACACTTGGCTTCTACTATGAACGCACTAGTTAATATGATATTATTATTTTTAAATATTTTAAGTATGTTTTTTAATTTTTTTTTTCTAATTAATTATTGTTAAAAGAATATCAATATAACTAATTTGAAAAAAATTAATTAATATATAAAATAGATCTTATATATATAACTAATGTTAATCTCCAATTAGATCATATAAATTTTTTTTTTATTTTTAGTTTACACTTTCTATCACTACAACACAACAGCCTAATCCTCTCATCTGCTTTAGACATTCTTTTCTTCTTCTGGAAGAAACTTCTTTATTTTCTTCTTTTTACCTCCAAGTGGAGACAAATTTGCAAAGTTAATCTTTTTCATCCACTCTTTTAAAGTTTTTCTTTCTTCGAAAGTGGCAAAACTGGCTAGTTTCAAATTCATTGTCATCAGACAGAAACATATATATGCTCTTATAGGGATTTAAAAGAGTGTTAATTAATTACCATGAGTATATTTCACACATATTTCTAGCATATATTACCTCCGATCCTAATTATAAGAGCAGTTGACTAATTTGAAAAGATCAAGGAAGTAAATTAAGTTAGTTATTTGTCCTAAATAGGTGTTGTCTTTTCTAAAATATCCTTACTAATCAAGTGTATTGACTAGAACTATCATTGTTAGAAGGGCTACTTTAGAAAAAAATAAATAAATATGAGAGACAAAGTGGATTGAGATCTTATATTTAGGATCAAAATAAAAACCAAATAAGATATTATATTAAGGACCGGAGGTAGTATAATTTTATCTGGCGAGACTTTTGCTCATCTTATTAACTCAGTTGGATTTCACACACACGCGCGCATATACACACACGCATACATGTGTGTGTGTATATATATCTACGAAGTTCAGCTCAGCGTTTCTTTCATCTAAGGGGCCATACTTGCGTGTTTAAACTTTTGTTTTCATTGTTTTCCTAGCTAAGAGAGACAAAACTTACGACTAACAACATGAAAGTATGGGAAAGATTGATTGGCCAGTCAAAAACGTATTTCGAAAAATCTTATTAGAAAAGAAAGGTGTATATGAAAAGGTAACAAGTGTAAGAATGTCTAGAGACGGGATAAAAGACTTTCTTATAAAGAATATCAATGATCATTTTTAGCGCTTACTTATTTAACTTTGTTTTAAATAATGCATAAAATTTAGATATTTAGGGTCAAATGTATAAAATAATGCTGGAATTGATGGAGATATTACACATAAAATACAAGTTAAGTGGTTCAGATGAAGAAACATTACCAGATTTATTTGTGATTAATTTAAAAGGTCCTAATAAGTTTAAAGGAAAGCATAAAGTTGGCATAATAGAGATAAGAATGTTGAGATGAATACTTGTTCATTCAAAAAAAAAAAAAGATATACTAAAAAGAGTTGGCATGAAATTCAAAGATTTAATTGTTAATAAAACATTATAATGCCATGCTATTCCATCTATATAACTAATTTTACCTAATGAAATAATGTTTCTTTTTGATACGCACTTTTTATACCATTTGTTGGGATTTAAAACTTCTCCTACACATATATATTTTCAGCCTTATTTTATTTGATCTAGGATTTTTCTCATGTTAGAACTCTTTGCCATTTCGGTTTGGACTTTAATCATCTTTATATTAAAGTTCAAGTATGTTGCCTAATCAACCTTTTTTTTTTTTTTTGTGGGGAGGCTCCAAGTGGACATATTTGCGAAGTTCAACTCTTTTATCCACTCAGAAAGTTGTTCTTTTGTTTTTATTGTTTTCACGCCAACTTCTCAACTTACTCTTATATTATTTTTTGAAAATCAAAGGAGTATTTATAATTATGAGTCTTTTTCAAACACATATTTTTTAGTGTAATTTTATCTAACACGAGATATTTTCTCATATCAATTCATATATATTAGAACTTTTATTTGCACAGAAAAGTTCAATCATCTCATCTATTTAAAATCCTTTTGTTTTATGTCTCCATGTGGACATATATATATGTGAAGTCCAACTCTTTTTCATGCTTAGAAAATTTTATTTTTCCCCAAGTGGCCACACTTGTGGATTTCAATTTTTGTTTCCATTCTCTTCATACACACTATTATTGAAAATTTCTGTTATATTATTTTTTGGAATTCGGATGAGTGTTAATAAATAAATGTCCCCCTCATACACATGCATGCATCTCTTTTTCGCATAACTTATATACATATATATGTGTGTGTGCATGTATATATTAGTTTAACTACCATGGAGCCAACATATACGTTTGACTCCGTATGCTGAGCATGCATAGTTGAACTGACATCCAGTGTCAAAAATAATATTACCTCTAGTTTTAGATATAAAAACTAGCTTGTAATGTAATTTATACTATAAATTAGTTTTTATATTTAGGATCGGAGGTATTTTTTTTCTTATTTTTTAGCAATAGAATAATTTACTTCTTGGGAAATTAAAAAATGTTTGTTTTCAACTCAGACACACGCGTATATTAAGCGGTATTTTTTTTTTTTGGGGGACCTTGATTAAGCTGTATTTGAAAATAGATATCGACCTCGGCAAGGAAAGATTCCCGATCGCAATTATGCACAGAATAAAATAAGGATATGAGTGACGCAAAAAAAATTAAATAAGAAAGTGAGGATAGGAATCTCGTTCTCATCTCTTAGGCTGAGGTCGGATCGAACTTTGAAGGATGAATCACAACCAAATGAGATTCATCTCATCACTTTTTTCCATTTTTAGTTCCTTTTTTGTTTTTTATGCAATTTTCTTTGTTCCTTCAAGTTGAAGAGACGAGAGCGACGAGTCCAAAGCCCAAAAGAAAAGCTATGAATGATGTCATAATTACTCGCCTGTATTCCTCCTCTTAAGATAGCTTGCTCATTGGATTATTGTTCTGTAAATATGGTTCAATTTCTTAATTATTATTTTTCAATTTTGTAAATTCCGTGTTTTAATAAATTTTTGAAAAAAAATCAAGGAAAAACTCAAAAAAAAAAAACCCTTGGAATATAGAAAATTTTTGATTGGGTCCTGAAATAGTGTAAATAACAGAAAGGGTTAATGACCCAATCTGTTATTTGCAAAATCAAGAGGAATTGATAACTTTATCTTCATTTTTATTCATTCACTATAATGATTTAAGGAATTATTATAATGATTTAGACGTTACCTAGATTCGTGTAGAAAATAACTATTTACTTTTTTGTAGTCAGAAATACCCCATGAGAAGTTTCACTGTGAATCAGTATAACTAATCATGTCATCACTTTTGCTTAGCTAGGCATGTGAAGGTATCTTGTTATTAACTACAACTAATTACGTAATCACTAGAATAGTGTACGCGTTACCTAAATTCGTTTAGAAAATAACTACTCATTTTTACTTAGTCAGGACAAAGTTATCAATTCTTCTTGATTTTACAAATGATAAATTGGGTTATTGATCTTTTCTGTCATTTATACAATTTCAGGACCTAATTAGAAATTTCTTATATTCTAAGGGTTTTTTTTTGGGATTTTTTCAAAAACCAAACCAAAAAAACTTGTTATGTTAAGAAATATTAAAATACAGAGCAGGTCTAAATAGGAATCTTGGAAGTTACTTTTTGTTATGCTTGATGGTGACACGCTGGTTCTCTGTCACCGGGCATTTCTACTGCTAGTATTGTATTTCGTGGTTGCTGACACTAGCTCTCCTCTCTCCCTCATCGATTATGATATTGGTATATTAGGTTATCAATCCGGCTTCATTTGATCAGCATCCAGTCTAGGTGTTTCTGCCTTGTTTTTTAGTTCTCTTGCATTTGATCAATCCAACGGACGGCTTTTGTACTTGGGGAAGGTGAAGTGGACGATTCCGAAGAGGCTAGAATCCAGGTCGCAGATTCTTCTTACCTCTCTCTTTCTCTCTCCCGTTGCGAGTGGCTGCAGCGGCCTATTTTCATGGATCCTGAGAAGGTAGAAGAATATCGATGCTAATTCTTCCAATTTTATTGCTCATCAGTGAACACACAGTCTCTTTCGTTCTATTTTTGGTTTATTACCCCGCCTAGTTGAGCTTGAGATCTTTCATCTTTGTGGTTTAAGAAAATCCTCCTCCGCCTAATTCATTCTGATTTTTTTGGTACGGAAGCATGACCTAATCAGCATGTTGGCAACTTCCGGTTACATAGACTGGTTTTGCTATCCAATATCTTTACTGATGACTTGTTGACGGCTTTGGACAGGACAGCCTGTGAAGGTGGAAGTGTGATATTGCCTCAAGCTTTGCCTTGTTGACTTTTCAGTGGTGAAACTCCAAATCGTATCAGTTTGGGAGCTGAACTTTCTGTAATTAAGCGGAAGAAACCGTGACATGATTATGGGAGACAATGTTGTGTCACCCGGTGCCTTGCTGGATCCGTCCATAGATTTTGATTACATGGACGAACTTTTCTCGGATGGATGCTGGTTGGAAACCGCTGCGGATGGATCTGATTTTTTGCTGCGAAGCCCTTCTGCGTCCAATCCCCTCTTTGACCCATCATTTTCATGGCCTGCTTTGGACACTAATGGGCATGTGAGTCTAGAACAAAGGCAGAGTCCATTTATTGACGACCACCAGGAAACACGAAATAATACTCGATCGGTTGGCAAGGGCAAGAACATGATAGATGTTGCTGATGCCTGTAATCCGTCTGAAACTCGTTCAGTTGAAAGCTCAGAAGTTGTTAAGAAGTTGTGGATTGGACCTATGGCTAATCCGAGCCCTGAATGTTCTGTATTGGAGAGACTAATTAAGGCTCTTGTGTACATCAGAGATTTCAATAGAGACAAAGATATGCTTTTACAAATATGGGTGCCGGTTAATAAGGAGGGTGGGAGGATTCTTAGCACTTGTGATCTTCCCTTCTCACTTGAAAGCAGCAGTCCGAATCTAGCTAAGTATCGAGAAATCTCTGCCAGATATCATTTTTCAGCTGAGGGGTATTCTAGGGGGTTGATGCCTGGATTGCCTGGTCGAGTTTTTAAAGAGAAGGTTCCTGAGTGGACTCCCGATGTTCGATTTTTCAGGAGTGATGAGTACCCTCGAGTTGACCATGCTCAAGAGTATGATGTGCGTGGATCTTTAGCACTTCCAGTCTTTGGGCAGCATAGCAACGTTTGCTTGGGTGTTATTGAGGTTGTGATGACAGCCCAGCAGATCAAGTATTTCCCTGAGCTTGAGAGCGTTTGCAAAGCACTTCAGGTTTTTCTCCTTGCTTTTTTCTATCAAAATTTTGTTTGGGTATCACTTTTGGAATGGACAAGCACATGAATATCCAGAATAAACTTAAGCCTGAGGATTTAGACTTGGCTAATTTCGATGTGCTATATTTTGTTTCCTGAGGCATAAAATGCATCCTACCTTATTGCTTTAAAATTTCTTTTATTGCTCTCTTCGACCCTTGTACTCACATCTGCCCTGGGTCCTTGTTTCGATGTCCATATCTTTACAGTAATTTTCTGTTTTCCCTCTTGTGATATAATGGTCTGTTTTTAAGTATTTCATTATAAATGCATATGGCATGTCTACTTTCTTCTCAATCAAGTAGTTCTTCAGCCAAATTTTTATAATGATGATCAAAACTCAAATTAATTCCACTTAAGTGATTGGAGGCAAGTTGTTCATTTGCAGGCTGTTGATCTTAGAAGCAAAAATATTTCAAGAATACAGAATGTGAAGGTAAATGGAAAATTATCTTAAAATACATTGTATTGAACATTTCCTTGATTTGGTGATGAAAACTGTTTTCATTTTAGCAGGCATGCAACAATTCCTATGAAGCTGCACTGCCTGAGATCCAAGAGGTTTTAAGATCGGCATGTGAAATGCACAAATTACCTTTAGCTCAAACTTGGGTTGCATGTATCAAGCAAGGCAAAGAGGGGTGCCGGCACTCAGATGATAATTATCTACACTGTATATCTCCTGTTGAGCATGCTTGTTATGTTGGTGATCCTTGTGTCCAGGCTTTTCACGAGGCTTGCTCTGAGCATCACTTGTTAAAAGGTCAAGGAGTCACTGGTGAAGCTTTTTTGACCAATCAACCATGCTTCTCAACTGATGTAACTTCCTTTAGCAAGATAGATTATCCACTGTCTCATCATGCAAGGATTTTTGGGTTGCGAGCTGCTGTTGCTATACGCCTGCGAAGCATCCATAACAGTACAGATGACTTTGTACTCGAGTTCTTCTTGCCTGTAAATTGTTCTAACAGTGAAGAACAAAAGAAGATGCTCACTTCATTGTCTATGATTATACAAAAGGTTTGCCATAGCCTGCGGGTGATAACAAATAAAGAATTGGAGGAAGAAACCAGCTTATCAATTGATGAAGTGACAATCCCTGCAGAGAGTAGATCTGCTAGGATGGATTTCCAACAATGCAGGAACGTTACTTCACCTGGCACCAAAGAAAAGTCAAATGAGGCTTTGACTAGACAGGTGTCTAACCTGAGTCAGCAAGAAGACTCTATTTTAAAAGGAAACCTTGACTATGGTTGGGAGTGTTCTTCTTTTGGTGAGGGTGGCTTACCGATTGCAGGTTTAAGTAAAACGGGGGACAAAAGACGGACCAAAGCAGAGAAAACAATCACGTTGCAAGTTCTTCGGCAATATTTTGCAGGAAGCCTAAAAGATGCTGCAAAGAATATCGGTGGTAAGTTTTGTATTTTTAGCCTGTTTCCATTTGAGGCTATTGATCTGGCAAGTGCAATCACTTAAGTTGAATGCTAGTTCATTGTACTCAATCCTCGATTTCTTGCTGCACAGTCCTTTTAAATATCATGATTTTCTGTTAGTCACTTACTAGTACGAGCTCTGGCTACATTCTCAGATAGTCAAAAGTGCAGATAAGCGTCTGCTATTGTTTTATCATTTTCTTTTTACCCCCGCAACTCTACTAGAATTGTCATTGAAAACATCTTTTGTATTATACTTTTCCAGTTTGTACTACAACTTTGAAAAGAATCTGTCGCCAACATGGAATAAAGCGTTGGCCTTCTCGAAAGATTAAAAAGGTTGGTCACTCCTTACAGAAACTTCAACTTGTCATCGACTCAGTTCAAGGTGCCTCTAGCGCTTTTCAGATAGATTCTTTCTACTCAAAGTTTCCGGAGCTAGCATCTCCAAATTTGCCAGGAAGCAGCTTGGTCTCAACTTCAAAGCAAAGTGATCTTCCGAATCCATCAAGCTCAAGGCCTGATACTGGCTTGCAGAGCCCAGAAGCGCCCTCATCTTCATGCAATCAAAGTTCCAGTTCAAGCCATTCCTCTTCCAACATGTCAGAGTTACAGCTTCATGCACAAAATGTTAGAGGGGGAAAAGTTCCTAGGGTTAGAGAAGATTCTGGTGATGGGGCTATGAAGAGGATTCCAAGTGAAGTAAGGCTAAAAAGCTTAAGTCAAGATACAGCAGAGCTCTTGCCAACATCCCAAAGCCAGGAAATACTTTGTGAACCTGCAAAACCTGTGTTGAAAAGCAGTCATAAAGAACATCAAAAAGAAGATACTTACAGAGTAAAAGTCACTCTCAGAGAGGAGAAAACCCGGTTTCGGATGCCAAAGAGTTGGCATTATGAAGATCTTTTGTGGGAAATTGCTTGGCGATTCAACATAGACGACATGCGCAAATTCTATATCAAGTATCTGGACGATGACTCTGACTGGGTTTTGCTAACATGTGATGCTGATTTAGAGGAGTGCATTGATGTGTGTCGACATTCTCAGAGCAGTACCATCAAACTTTGCCTTCTGGATAGTAAATCATAGTATCATCTATCAAATATGTCAGCTTGTGTTGCAAGTAGTTTGTATTGAAGGACGATCTTGATTATTTTTTTTCCAAGAGAATTATCTTGGTTATATTACATAATTTAATATTACAGGGGCTTCCGATATTTAAAGCTGTGAGCAGTTGCAACGTTGGTTCACCTCAAGAGCTGAGCTTACGTGGTAACAAGACTACTCATTTCTGTAAATATTTAAATATTCAACTCTATGTCTCGTTTGTTTCATGGCATCAAAGTGTATATGCAATGGGAATGAGATAAACTATCATGCATGTATTCCACTTTCCTGTTCTACAGACCTCATTCACTGCCTCCACTTTGCACAAAACAATGTTGTTTCATTAAGCCTAGTGCAATCTGCACCATCCTTTCCTGTGAGGTATCATAACCATCCACAGTTTATCTCCCTCCTATTCCACTGAAGAGGCCTTGTTGAGGAAGCACCTCCTGCAGTACAATGGAGACACCAAGCGCCCTCTCATCCTCTGATTCGGCTTCTCTTCATATGTGATCCTCATCCTCCAATTCAGCTTCTCTCCATTTGCAATGGTCATGCTCAGATTTGGCTTCTCTCCATTTGTGATGGCACCATTGATATGGCCTCCTTCCAAACATCGATGGTGAGACTTGCTGCTTTTTCTAGGTTATATGTTTCATTTTAATTACTAATTTTTAACTACTTTTGCTTTGTTAAGAATCACCTGCAATTTTGAATTGAGGAAGTGTTTGTTATAGGACTCGATTTATCCTCTTAACTTAAATGGTTGGATATTGACGAAGGCTTGAATTAACATCAACTGTTTTAACTTATTTTCCCAGGTGGGTTTTGATTTTGTTTTGGAGGGATTATCCGTATCTAGTTCACCCGTGGAATCTGTTGTGGTTTATTATCCATAAATGATCCTATAGGAGCTTATGGAATCAACTGAGGTTTCAGAAAATGCAAAAATGGACCTTTTGTTCTAATTTGCAGCTACTTTCACCCCATAGCTATCTAACATCTCATTGGCTGAAGCACATTGTGTCCTTTATTAAAATTTACCTGCCTTGTTTTGTCTCTCTGTAAGATAAACTTCTCGTTCTATTTTTGTGATTACTATTAGGTTTTCCTCACATTGCGTTATTAGTGGATCTTATCTTCCATTTGTGATATTTCAAGTGACCATAGCTTCCTCCTCTATAGAGAATCTGTCATAATTATGTAAGTTGCATTAAAACATTTTCCTTGGGAAAGGATGGTAGCATGTGTTCAAAATCCTACGAAACTATCTAAAAATGGCCAAGTTTATTCGTAATAAAATAAATATTTTGCCTTGATGACCTGATTGGATAAGATCATTCGCATATTGCTCTTTTGAAAGGAAGTAAACAACTAAATATAACATCAAATATCTGTGTTCGAAGCAATCAAATACCAGAAACACGCTCAGTCAAAGAAAAATAAACCATAGCATTGGTCTGCAAATCATAACAAAGTCCAAGCTTCTGTTATTCAACTCGTCTCAATTTTTTTCGTTCAACTTTTTGTTACTGCTGTATGAAGCTCGGTTGGAATGCAAAATAATGTTTAAAGTGACAAAACCACGATCCTAGTTTATGACGAATTTCTTTGTTACTAATTGTTTCAAGATGTTTTTCCTTTTTGTGCAGATGCGTTTGCGGACTAGCTGCAGCAATCAACTTCAAGACAAAATCATTCGCATTTGAAGAAACCTGGTTGCTGCAAATTGTATTATTTTAGAATCTATAGTTCATATGATCATTTGGACCATATGAAGAAACCTATTTGCTACAGCTTGTATTCTTTTAGGTGACATTGTTCTAATTTCGTTATGCAAGACAGTTAGGAGTTACGATTATTTCAATTTGAAAATGTTAGTCAAGGATTTATATCTCTTCTCTTGGCTTTGACTTTTTGCCTGTTTATAAAGGTAGTCAGTGAAATATTGTACCCACAAGAAAAAGAAAATTCAATGAGTTATATGGAATATTTACCATATATTTGCCAGGTTTCCAATTTATCTCTACATATGAGACCTAGTTGATTAATGTAGGGAGATTAAAAAAAACTAAAAAATTACTATACAATATTTATATTTATAGGTTTTTTTTTTAAAACTAATTTGCCTAGCTTATAAACAAATATATAATATAATGATACATACAAGTATTTAAGAAAGATGATGGGTTTTGTATTAAAGATAAGAGGTGGTCAGTAGGTTTCTGGATGAACAGGCTATTCTTTTGTGGAGGGGCTGTTCCTATGACCTAACAAATTTCAGCTATTCTTTTGTGGAGGGGCTGTTCCTATGACCCAACAAATTTCATTTCAATAGTACCCTTCTTGTAGAATCATATGGAACCATTTTAGCTGAAGTTCCAATTTCCAAGCACCACCTTAAATATATACAGGTCTGCAGTGGCACTATCCTCAGACTCCTCTAAGCACTCCTTTGTCCTTGTTAAAGAACGTGGGGTGGTTTCATTTTGTTCAAGCTTGATCCTTGCTTCATTCTGAGTTCCAAGGGACATCGGAAGCACTTACTAGCTACATGCAGTTTAATTGGATGGAATCATGAAGGTGAGCGAATAAAATACTAGAACAAAATTCTATAAGCTCTCATTTCTTTTAAAGTTTAGTCTATCTTTCTTAAAGTTTAGTCTAAAATTCTATAAGCTCTCATTTCTAGTATAAAATACTAGAAATGACTGGGCTCACACAAGACCCACAACTACAATTAAAGTTTAGTCTATCTTACACAAAGCGACATATAAGCTCTCATTTCTTTTAGAGAATCAACGTCAAAATTCTCCTAATCTTTTTTATTTTGTTTAAACTCCCCTTTCTTTCTTTTTTAATATGATCTTTCTCTGTTTTTATTTTTTATTTTTAGAGAACAGAAAACTGACTACAAACTATCCGAAACGCATAGCATCCTTCCTGACAGTGTCGAGAACACAGACATTATTCAAATTCATGAAATGTAAGGCTGATCTACCAATCCCAGTTCATCATGCGCACTATTTCCTCTAAAATCTGATCCTCACTGCCAGCCAAGCCACTATCATGAACCATTTCAACTAGCTGCGAGCAATCCGTCTCGACTACGATATCCCTGTAGCCCTCATCCCATGCTAATTTCATCCCCCATAGTACGCCACAAGCTTCAGCCTGCAAACTACTCCCGCCTCCTATGTTAAAGAGGAAGCCACCAAGGACTTGGCCACTATGATCTCGCATTACACCGCCACAAGCTGAACCGAGGCCCGCTTCCACAGATGTGCCATCGACGTTGACCTTAACAATGCCGACAGACGGAGGGACCCAACTATCGCGTGAGCCCGAATTTCTATTAATATGATCTTTCTACTTTCGAGTATCCGGTGCGTAATCGATCCGGTTGAATTTCTCTGTGTACTTCTTTTTGCAAAAAGAAAAATAATAATATGCAAGTTCTTATAATTTTACCTCAATTTTAAATAAAATTTTATAATTTATTTATTATTAAACCTTATAGTTTTCTGAATTATAGATATTATTCAATATACTCATAATTTCCTAATTTATAAAAGAAATTGCATTACAAACTGATGATGTAGCTTTCATTCAGCCTACATTTGGATTAGTTCTGTCAAATAAATCTAAATAAAATGAAAATTAACTTAATTGCACATGGATGCAAGACGATGATTAGGAGCATAATGATTTTTATCTTTATGTTTACAACAAATAAATTTTTTTCCATATTTTCTTTTTAAGAACCTCTTCTATATTGTATCTTATGACAATTTATAGGTGGCTTGGTTGGCATTTACATGAACTCTAATTAAAAAAAATCAAGTAAAGCTATAGGAATTGAGGAATTAATTTTTTTTATAAAAAAAAATAGCAACTAGGAACAAGACCAGGCCACATCGTCTCCTACTCGATAATGTAGTAAACAAAAGGTGAACTGAAAGATTGCTGTATCAATTCGGGCCAATAATCAACAAGGCACTTCATGGCAACTAAAAGCAAAAGATAGGGAAGCTCATGCATAAATGGGGGATGAGATAGTCAGAGGAGAGGGGAAAATGGAAAATAACTATCCTTTTGTCAGTTATAATTATCATACAAGTCGTTGATATTTTTTTTATTTTCTAAGTAAACAAATTAATCACTACTCCCTCCGTTCCTTATTATAAGAGACATTTGATCCTTATGGCATGTTCCTATATATAAGAGACACTTAAAGTTGTTTTTATTTTTTGTGTTGATTTCCTATTTTACCCATATTTATTATCTCCAACTCACACTCTCTCTCCTTCCCACTTCTCTTTCTTTTAATAATTTAATTGTTCTCTCTTATGCTCTCTCTCCTTATTAATGTGGGTATTTTTGGAAAAAAATTATACTTTTTACACATTAATTGTTCTTAACTAATTTTAACTATTTTTTTGATCAACGTACTTCGGTTATTTGTCTCTTATAATAAGGAACGGAGGGAGTAATACATTTCATGAATTTGAATAATTACTAATAAGTCATAATGAATTAGAGAATAATTTGAAAAGAAAATTAAATTACTCTATTGCCTTTTGATCACTTTGACGTATTTAGACTTTTGATCTATTTAGCCATTGGTGTAGATATGACGTTGACCGATGACCGGCCAATATTAACTGGCCATTAAACGGAAATAATTTTTTATTAAAATATTAAATACTACCTCCAATTCTAATTATAAGACTTTGTTTGTAAGTCTACAAACTAGGTCTTATAATTAAAATTGGAGATAGTACAAGTTAGGGAGAATTCCATAAAAAAAAAAGTTTGAAATTATTAAATCCCAAATCAAGTTTGGTAACAAGATTTTATTCGATTTTCATAACATTAAACTTACAAATAACAATAAATTTTTGTTGAAATTCCTCTTTTGGATTTTAATCATTTTAAATTTCTTTTTGTGAGATTCTTCCTGTAAGTTGACCTCATTAAATTGACAAATAAACATTTAAGAACTATAAGTCAAGCTATTCATCCAATATTAATGAGTCAAACTAAGTTATTTACAACTGATTCGGTGTGTTTTTAAGCACAAATTCTGTAGGCTTGAGCATAAAGAAAATGCCTCCTTTTAATTTCTTATAATTACTTTTTTAACAAAATTCATTACTAATAGAAGAAATATAGATGGATTTAGACTGTTATCAGAGCGAAATTTCAATAAATTACTTGTAAAAATGGTTAAAATTTTTTTGAAAGAGTATGTAAAATTTATGAACTCATGCAATAAACACATAACTTATAAATATCACAGGTTAACGTTTAATTGTGTAAGATTACTGTAAATAAAAATGATACTTAAAATATTATAAAAATATATAAGATCGGTTGTAAACGACTTAGTTCGACTCAAATATCGGAGAAGTGCTTATAAATCACTACCAAATTAAAAACTTGTGAATCTGTGGAAAGAAAATGCACAGGATGCTTGTAAATTAGAGAAGTTTGCCAGTAACTATTAAAAACAGGCACCAGTAAGTTCCGATGCCAAGAATAACTACAAGAACTCTTGTAGTATGCCACTTGGCTACTTTTTAATTATCATTTGTCATTTGTATCTTTTTTTAATGTTTTGTTTTCAATTCTACCCCATTTAATTAAGGAAGAAACATGTAAAGGTGAAGAGAGAGGGGATGAATGAGAAAAAATATACTAGTATTTAATAAGGATAAAAGTGAAAGATTTTATGTATTTAATGATATCCTTGATATGTGAGAAATTACTGCAAGTGATAATTAAAAAGGACTTGTGTGGAAGCGAACAAATGTGTATTTTTATTTATTTACTACTGCAGGCAGAAAAGAAAGGTCATGAATTTTGTAGTAATTAAATGCTTATTTGGAGCTACTTGCTATGATCCTATTTATAAGCTTCAACTTTAGAAAAGAATGTGATTTATTTTATAAGCTTCAATTTGAATTTATCTTAACATTTAATGTGTTTTTTTTTTCAATTTTATCCTTAATTATTTCTCTCTTGTCATATTTTTTTGGACATTCTTTTTTATTCTTTTTCTCATTTGTTATAAAGGTATATTTAAAAACAAAAATATGTTTTTAACCTATTTATTATTTTTAACTAATTTTAACTAATTATTTGTTATTTACAAATTAGTTATTTAAAACTTATAATAAAGACAAGATGGAGTACTTAATATAAGCACTTATAGACATTTTTACACAAGGCAAGAAAACTTATCTTACATGGTTATCTTCCATTTAGCAACTGAAAAGTTACTTGCTCCCATCACCATGCCCTAAAATTAGTACTTTGGCGTGATTCGAACTAATAGCAGTCGATTTTGGAAGCCGAAAAGAAAACAAAAATAGTGGGCATCATTAGCTGAGATAACTGCGGGAAATTCGAAGCGGAAAATAGAGATGTTATCATGCAACCGAGCACGTTATGTTGCAGTCCAAAGTACAAACATACTCCTATTGTTTTGAAGAAACATGCCCTCCAACTTCCAAACACGTTATCAAATCTCATCCCAAGAAAGGAGATGAGCTTCCCTGGTAAGAATGATAGCCAGCAGGATATGCCATTCCTTACATAACAATGAGAAAAATAAATTTCCCATCCCCACACTACACCCATCCTCTGGTAGATGAAGAAATCCAATCTATCTCCTTCACTGACTTTTAATTTCTAGACTTGGGAAGAGGTTTTAGCATCAGCACTTTCAAATTGAGACATGAAATTTATTCATACAAAACCCCCAGAAATAACCTCATAACCATTAATATCATTAGAAAGTAATATCAGGACAAGCTCAAATTGTCAAGTCACAGCGTTCATGAATTAGTTCTACGAACTGAGTCTTTAATTATCTAGAAGCACACGAACTTTGTGAATCTAGGGCGGAAAAAGTACCAGATTAGGCCCTAATTTCTATCCCATGCGCAGACCCATATGGAAAAATTTTGCTAGCACGCAGAGAACATAGATATTTTGATTTGACCATCCCGGGAAATTGACTGTCAATTTTGCAAATAACAAGGCTTTGCTTGAAACCCATACACAATGTCTTTATTTCTCTTCAATCTTTACATAATTCCTAAGAAATTAGAAAAGACCCAAATTTCTTATGATGGTACATTAATTAATGTGCATTTTAACTCGCATGGTCTTTATCATAAGGAGATCAATCATTAGAAGAGCTGAGAGCAGCAACAACCGACCCTGTTGTTTCCAAAGTTGATGCAACATCGGGATAGTCTTTCCATGAGGTACTGATCTTCAGAGATGGGTAAAGCCAACTTTTAACCGATTCCACAAAGGAGTTTGGGTCTAGGTTGAAAATGGCTTCCCAATCAACTTGCAGACCCTGTGGGATGTTTCCTGTAAACTCCATATTGGCAGCGAGCAATAGACCCAGCATAACTACAAATCCAATTGCAGCAGATCCTCTAGACAGTGGCATGAAGTTATACCTGGGAAAAAAGGGTTTAGTTAGATTTACAGAACCAACTTCAAATGTTCAAGATAACGGACACACGTTTTGATGATCGCATACCAGTAATAAGTCATCCTTAAAATGGCATCTCTCACGTTTTCAAGCACGTCAAAATCCGTAGATCCAAAGTTTTCACCACAATAAGCATTGCAGAGAGCCTGATCATACCCAGATGCAAGGTAAATGTCAATTTTAGCAACTTGAACAACAAATAAAAATGAGATGAAACAGAACACCGCCAGTAAATTTCTAAAGTTAGACAACTTTTGTTGAAATGTTAATGGTGAATGAATTATGAAGTGATAACTTCGATCACTGGTAAAGATGCTAAAGAAAAATTCTTCGCTAACAAATCACATAAATGGTGATATAAAGGGTATTTCTATCAGCTAAATAAAATACTACTTCTAGTCCTAATTGTAAGACCTTGTTTGTAGGAGGTAATATTAAATATTGTTTATTATGACTGACATACCTCCCAAGCCACTGCCATTTCTGTGTCAAAATCTTCCCATCTTGAAGGTGTACTGGGGGTTTTAATGGCAAAATCAAAACCATGTTCGCCCCTGAAAAAGCCCAATACAAGATATAAAGAATGTAAATCATCGAATAGAAGGAAATGGGGAAGAAAATAACTTGACTTTTCACAAAAAAGCTTGGTACTTACATTTTTCCAATGGTTATCCTTGTCCCTTCAAGCTGCTTCCTGAAGAAGCATAAACACCCGAGAAGTAAGCATACACAGAAATTGTTTCCTAGATATTATTTACACTATGCAGACTTACCCTTCAAATGCAGTACTGTTGCACCAAGTAGCCAACCAGAAATCCTCACCAACAACACTATGAAGATCAGCGCACGATTTTGCAAGCATGATCTGCACATTAAAAATTAAAATTTCCATTTTCATAGGAGCATTGACTACAAAAATATCACCAATCAAACATGTTATCATGAGCAAAATAAAATATAAGATCTACAAGAGAACATAATTAAAATCGGTAACAAAATAAGCAATACAGAATCCTGATCTGATTTAAAAGTGATGAATCCCTGAGCTTGGATTGTTATGAGATGGGACTTCATGTTTCAATCAGTAAATTGAAATCCCATGCTAATTAAAAATTACGGATTATATATTCAATATTATCTGATCTTTTTGGTGTTTAATACACCTGATAAAAAGGAAAAGGAATGGTCATTGTGCTTTGGAACTTTCCACACAATGCGCACAACAACCCTGTCTCCTGACAAGGCTGGTTTAGGTTCTTTATGCCACTTAAATTCTCCTCAAATGCTCAACATGCCTCCAGAATCCACGTCTAAAAAGCATAGTACTGTAACCAATAAAACAAGTTATTCCTTGTAGGTGCAACATTGATTTCGTCACTCCACAAATTAGTGGCACAACAAGAGATGTATTGTGAGCATGAAATTCAGAAAAGTAAACATTTTCCAAAGGTGCATCCTTTGGGATCACCAACATGAACTCGTGATGTTACAGCAAGAAAGCACAAAAGATATCAGACAAAAATTTAACATCTCACATCTTCTAATTTCCCATCTTTGGAAAGACTGATGATCTCATCTGTTTTGCTGTACACATATGATCTCTCCTTCATGACAGTCTTTGCAACATTCAATGTCCTGCATAATTAGCAAGTTATAAGAAGTTCCTAAGCCAGTAAAGTAATTTAGAATATAAATAGGCTTTTTACCGTTCGTAGTGAGGGAAATAGCGGACAACTTTGGCTTGTCCAAGAACCAGAGGTGTGTGAGAACCAAATCCAGGGTTGAATTGTTCACTGCAGTGTAAGTGAGCTAATTGGTGTTAGAAATCCAAGGAAAGATTAATTTAATCAGGACAAGTGATAATATACAGAAAAAATGGGAATTGTAAGCTTAGTCTACCAAGACCTAGCAAGAACAAACATCAACCACATATCTAATCTAACTAGTTTAGTTGTGAACCTCTTCTCACGAAACAAAGGATATAATTTAGCATAGAAGAATATTGTCTCCTGACATTCGTATACTTTGTGCGTGTGTTTTTTTCACACTTCTAGTTCCTCTAACTCCCATCAATATTAATTTTCATTCCTCTATTTTCGTTGCTCTCTTAAGGTCCTCAAATTTGCCGTCAATTCAGCTTAAGTTCTAAACAAAGATAACACCCAGTACGAGCTAACAAAACATTATATTTCCGTCACACACATAAATGTACATGCAACAAATATAAGGACCAAACGGGAACAATTGAAAGAAAATGGCCTAAGATCGAACTCCATTACATATATATATACATACACACATATAAGAAAAAGAACTATGACTGAATTGCAACAATTACAAGCGAAAGTGCCATTACACCAATGCATAAGTGAGCTCATGCAAGGTGCCCTATCAAGATATCAATATGACCCGAAGGGACATTAGATTTACAGAATCTTACATACCTAGGAATGATCACATTCTAAGGATTGGTGATCCCACAAATCATGTTCCTAGGAATGTGACGTTCCCAAGTTTGGTTCATCATAAATTTTCTAGGGAATATTTTACCACATAACAAGAAACCCAATATATTCATTTTTGGATCATATCTTTTTTAACAATTACATAATATTTTATTATCATCACCACCACATGATTTTGCTATTTAACAGAGATATATGTATATATATAGTATCAAATAAAACACTCTCTCCATATCAATCATTTTTATACAATATGTATTTATTATAATTAAGTCCTCATTATTTATCTAGCCAAATGTTTGATTTATAGCACATTTTTTTATTTATTTCACCATTTATAATTTAGCATAACTTTTTAAGTAATATTTATTATCTATTATTTATTGGAAAGTATCTGACGATAAGAAGGGGAAAAAAATATTGTCATTTCTAAAAAAGTTAAGGTGCAAATTTGCCTTAGAATTTTTCACTCAAAAGTGCCGGGCAACAGAAATATTTTTGGGTGCATATGCAAAAAATAAATAAAATAAAATAAAATTCAAAGAAGCATATGCAAAAAATAAATTACTAGGTCCAGTTTCTATAGGGCCTGTTGGGATCAAGATCTCATGTTTAATTGTAATTTTTACAGTTATTCTCAATGTCAAAACTGGGTTGTGAACAGGCACCATGAGAATTTCGTCAAGTTAGAAGTAGACGGCTCGGTCTTGTCCAATAGAGATGGCGGATGTGGAGGAGCTATTTGGGATAGAGAGGGCAGATGGATAACTGGTTTCAAATGCAAACTCACCAAGGTTCCACCAGCAAGAGCAGAGCTAATTGGCATTATTTATGGCCTTAATCTTTGTTGGGCCAGGGGCTTTAGGAGTATTCTTTTGTTTTCTGATTGTATAGAAGCCGTGAATTTAACGATTAAGGGACTGTGATATTAGTCATCCCTTTAGAGACATAGTAGGGGATAGTAAGATACTTTTCTACAGGGATTGGCAAGTTTTGATTAACCATGCCTTTAGAGAAAACTTAGGCATTGCTGATTTTTCAGCCAAGTCTTCATATACTATGGAGGGAGACTTTTGTACTCTTCATCAGCCGCCACCTCTTGAACAGGAAGAGGAGGAGATTGATGATGAGATTTAGCCTGCTGCTGTTGTTTTGTACTGACCTTTAATGAACGCAGTTTTCATTCCAAAAAATATAAACTGCTGAAACAAAACATGGTTTAATTGCCACATAATATGATCTACTGGAATCATTAGCCTAAGATGAAATACCTTAGCTTGTTAACCCAAACAACGGGGTCACAGGGCTCAGAAATCTGTCTCCATCTAACAGCCAATGAATAAACACCTTGCCATGACATGGACCGGGAATATGATCTATCATCAATGATGCTATATGAAGGTGTTTCTAGGGCACTGCTTGTGCTACATCCTGCACCTCCTCTATTCTGACTAGCAATTTGAATCCTCTCCCTTCTCCTAGACCTTTTGCCATGCTTTGAGTTGCTTTTATTCGAGTATTTCCATTGCATTTGCAGGGATCGCCAAGCTTTGGACACCTTTTGTGCAATTTCAATAGCAGCAAATCCAGCCATACGATGCTGGTAAAAGGGGGAAGAAAAAAAACATTAGCATTCTGGTAGTGACAGCTCATACAAAGATAGTATTAACATTTTGAGAATAGCCACAACCATTGACATTATGGACCAAAGCAAATTAGCAAGCATCATGTTGGATACTGGTTTCAAATAAAACTAAGGAGGTGTTTGGGAACCTAGAAAAGTGATTTTAAAAAGCACTTTTTCACAAAATGAGACAAACTCCTCCATATATTTACTTCATATACCGTAAAAGCACTTCTAAAAACATGATTTGATTTCCATCCACACACCCGTTAAATTAGATTGCAAAACTCAGCATCGCTGCATGTTAACTAAGATTGTATAAAGACTGGAATCAAGGTCAATAAAGAGAATAATGCATTAGGCTCTAAAAAGCCGATGACATTATCACCTAGGGAAAAAAATTGACAATGAATAAGATATCACTGAATGAACTGCTGAGCAAATGACCCAGATTCCCAGAGATCATAAGGGCTGGACAACTATGCCTTTGCTCAGAAGATGGCATAGCAAATAGTAAACGATGATGCCAAAGGAGTCTAAAATAAAGATACAATTTACTGCATCAGGATATGAAAGCAACAGCATCAGGATTAACTATAAAGCTTGCCTATCAACAAACAAGACAAGGACTAAAATTAAATCTGGCCCAAAGTCAAGGACCAAGTCTGTGAGTTCTGGAAAAAAGGAACACCTGGTTTATTTCCTCCTAGATGTTGACCAACAGAAAGGTGGTACCCCTCCTCTTACCATAATCCACTTAATCATCTCAATGGGATCTAAACAAACAACCTCTCTGCTGGAATACCATTTCTCAGTCATTTAGATGCCCACTTGGGGACCCAAAACCGTTACTCAGAAGTGAAATGAAATAAAGTTTCATGTAAGTTTATCAAGGCCCCCCCCCCCAAAAAAAAAAGCAAAAAAAAAAAAAAAGGCGATTTGTAATTTTACATTACGAGATAAATGGTGGTCCTAAAGACAAAAGGATTTAGGGGAAACGAAAGGGAAATAAATAAACGCAAATAATAGCCATGATATACAACGTGAATAAGTTTACCTGGCGTCTATTAGTTAGGAAACCCTGGCAATCATACTGGATTTTCTTGCCAATGGAATCTGCAGCCCGTATTAGAGCAGCTTTTTGCTTTGTAATGGCAAAATCTTGCTTTCGAAGCTTCCACTTTTTTAAAGATTCACGCAAAGGAGGTTGCCTATAAACTTTTTCACATACATCCTTTGGATGCAATTTCTTGCACCAATACTCCTGAGAGTCATGAAGAAGCGAATGAATATTGTGAAAGTGGGATCCAAAACATTCAAGACAAAGAACTAGCACAAAATTTTTTTAGTGCAATTGAAACTTATGTCATAATATGAACATGCTGAACTTTTATTTGTAAAATTCACAATAAGAAGCCCTGAACAGATCTAGGCCAACAATTGAATAGAAATTAACTTCAGAATAATATTAAGGGAAGGAAGTTCTCAAAACTCACATTTTTTATGAAACAAAAGTTACCACTCAGAAGCAATGCTTTGACTTCTCTAATTGAACTTGTACAAATGTCAAGCATGTCATGCAATTGCTCACATAACTAAGCCCCGTCACATGAATTTTATCCCCATGGATTACGCAGAACCAATATTATAGGTTAGGCAGATGAGACCCGCTCACTCCAAGTCCCTAATTATGTGGAGAGCTTTCAACTTGAGGGTTATAATCCCAGTACTTTGTCCTCAAAGGATGGGATGCGGCTACTTCCACTACACATTCAAGTACTCAATACTTGAAGCACTAGAAGTTCACGAGATAGTTATGGAATTGAGGGTAGGACTCAAGAGAAGATACGAGATAGGATATTCTGATACAGTCCCCAGAGGATATAGCCACTTGGCCCATCCACTTCTCATCCTCCCCTTTCTCAAATAAGTCATGACATGTCTATGCCCATCAGATAGCCCACGGAGGAATAACAATGCAGAAGAGGAAAGAAACTTAAGCAAAAATTCATACAGTTACCTTAAAAAGTGGATCAATATCCCCGTCAATATCAAACCAGCAAAATTCACTGTTAATCTTTGAGGCTGTGTAAAGAGCAATCTCTTTCTGCAAAAGAAGAAAAGCTTGGGCTTAACATCGCAGAACCATGTTTAAAATGGGTAAAACTAGCAGGAACCATGCTAACTCCAATTCCTCATTATCATATAACATCACCAATTTAATTTCATTATTCCCTAAAACAAAGAACATAACCAGTCAATATACAACGCTCAGTGAACTCAAAAATAAAGGGAAACAGGGGCGTATAGCCGTATAGGTGGCTCTTAACACAGATATACATAACAAATAAATATGAGGATGAATACAAAAGAAAACAACACCACTTTGATGCCAAAAGAAATCTGCCAGTTCACATCAACATGCTCTCAAATGTGTATATCAGACCACTAGTGGAGCTTCACTACTTAATGCAAAATGACAAGGACTAGTCTAAGCTTGCCAGCATTTCTTCAGCATAGGAAATGTCATAATGTTCTGTTCGTTATCAGACAAATCACAAACCTGATAAAAGGCAAGGCACTGGAGCACAAATTTTTCCATTGAATCCAATTCCAAATCAAGTGCAGCATCGTAATCCTTGACCTGTGACCGTTAAATAAAGTTATTGAACCAACAAATGTAATCAGAATTTGATAGAAACCTGGAACTCCGGAGTTCCCTATGTTGTGTGCCTTATTAAGGGTAAAAAGGAAAAAGAATAGAAACAACTACCCCTCCAGTTGTTATAGCAGAGGCCCCACCAAAACCCATATCTTGCCTACCTCCTACTCTGCATACTCCCTCCCTTTATTCTTTCTCTGGAATAGCTTATTTTTAAACATTCACCATTTAATTACACAGGTGCACCTTCCATTTTTAAAGGTTATAATTTTGCCATTGATGGCCTATCAAAACTCGAAAACAAAAAGTTTACATACAGCCTCTTTGTATTGTCCAACAGCATGGAAGCAGGAAGCTCGCAGATATAAACTCTCAATGTTAGCACCATCAATGCTCAACCCTATAGTCAAATCCTTGATAGCCTTCCTGTCATTTAAATCAGTAAGTAAAACAAAGGATTCCAAATCAGCGCATGTTAGGAAAGTAGAAAGTATTTGAAACTAATTTACATGGACTGAGGATGTTATTATAAATTCAAAGCTATCAACAAATCATCATAGTCTTACCAGAAATCGCTGGCATCCAATCATACTATGCAATATATATCTCTAAACTCACAAAATGCAGTTCAAAATGGCAGTCACTGTCCCTTAAATCCACCATCAAATTAAAATATAGAAATAAATTATATTTAGAACTACATGCCTTGAGACTTCCAGAATACTTTCACTGAAGTGCGTATATTTTCCTACCCAACCATCTTTTCCAAGTTAAAAATAATTTTAAAAAAAAATACTCTGAATGTGGCAAAGGATCCCATTTCAAGCAAAGTAATTTAAAAAAAAAAAAAACCAATTATTTCAAATTCTCCTTAGCCCCTATTGCTGTTCTTAACTCTCATTCTCATCCCCTCCTAGAAAGGTAACATTTTTCTTCACGTTCAACCATTCAAATATGCTTACCAAACAACTTATAAATCTTCCACTATATCTCAAGATTTCCCTTACTACCGTCCAAGGACTAAATCATCAAGACTTGTGAAAGCTCTGATCAAGTAAGGAACGATTTTGTTGGTTAAAAAATAAATCTATTCCATATATTAGCAGGTATGTTGTTTTAGATACCTGTGCTCTCCCATCGCATGGAACAACAGACCACGCAAATGATAAGCCTTTGCAAACCTACCATCAAAACCCAAAAGCAATAAGAATCAGCCCACTTAAAGTACGTTGAACAGGCACAATGTGCATATGTGAGAGAGACAAGATATTGATAATAAAAACAATAAGGTTCACTCACAACTATATCCAATCAATTTTCATTAGGAATAATTACCTCCCATCAATTTGCAGCACATGATTTAGACATTCCTGAGCTTTTGTTGGCTTTGCTAAATCTTGATAGAACTGCAAAAAATACATATTCATAACAAAGCTAGCAACTGAAATCATCTAACAGTAACAGGAATAGCTCGCAAAGGCACAGATATGTACCTAGTAGGGGCACGGGAATATGGTATTTTTTTCAGTGTATAGGGTATGGATATGGCAATATACACTATTAAAATAAAGAATTTTTTAAATATATACGACAATTTTCACAACAATCAACACAAAATTAAATAACAAATGATTCCAGATATAATTATCAAAATACTGATTAAGCTTCATAAATCTAATACGATCTCAATGTTTATAGAACTTCATTAAAACTGAGATTTAACTTGAGGTCCCTAAAATTCAGAGTTAAAAATTTGTACGCAAAATTACTATATATCCCCTTTATTTGGGGGGGAGGGGGATGCTACACAATACTTATTTAGGAGTAACAAGAGAAACCAATTAGAATCGGTACCAATTAGGTATCTGATACAGGTATATCTTCAATCCAGAATCACCCATGCTTCATAACATACAACTTGTTTAAGCAAATGTTTAAATGTGAACTAATATGCCTATGGAATAACTACTTCCAATCGAGTGAACTTATGACAAAGAACGAAGCAAACAGAAATGACAGAGACACAAGTACTAAAAAAAATGAAAGAAAAGAAAAAATGATTAACAGAGATGACAGAGAGCATAGGAATATATAACAGTTTACATCTTAAATCAGAAAATAAACTGTAGAAAGATGAGTTGGGTTTGTCAGAATCAAGCTTCCATCCAAGATCAAAACTTCTAACTGCCCATCCCTTTACAAACAAAAGGTTCAAAGATACCTGAGTCAGATGTGCCCATGCTTCAAGGAAATTTCCATCTAGCTGAAGTGATTTTAAATGTGCTTCCTCAGCTTTCTTATATTCACCAACTGAAGATAATGCTAAACCCTGGAAGAGACTATATTAGCTCAGAGAAAGAATGAAGACTTCCTCTCGAGCAGAAAACCAACACCAGATACCAGAGTTAATGAGATTTTCGATTTTAAAGTTTAACCTAAGACCCACCAGATATGTGTAGGCAGACTTGTTATCCTTCTCTAGCTTCACACAAGCTGAAAGGTCCTCAATAGCAGCATCAAACACCTTAAACTTGAAATTAACAATTCCTGCATTGAATTTTATGATAAACACAAATTGTTCAGTTCCTCAGGCTACTCTTTCTGAGGAAAAATCGTAGGCTCAGTGGTATGACCAGATTTACAAAGAATCAAAGTTCTTAAACATGAAATCCTCAATGAGATGTCAACAAAAACCAAGGGCATGCAGACAAGATGTTAGATGAGTACTTAACTCGAACAAGATTATTTTTAAGGAGCTTAGCAATAACCTGCTTTTTAAGTAAATGAGTAGTGCAATTTGCTCAAGTACAAGAAAATTGCATATACAGGTCTCAATAATTGTTCAAAAATTTACAGATATCACCTAAATTTCCATAGGAATGTCATGCAAATTCATACTGGGCTTCCAAGTTCATTAAATTTCTATCCACTCTCTATAAATGTAGAACTTGTTCGAGCACAGGATGCTATGAATGCTAAAGACTACAAATTCAGGCCATATAAAACTAAGTTCCTCTATCTTGATTTCTAGGAAATCCCACAACATGTGCGTGCGCACGTCTCTGTGTGCATAGAGATAGAGAGAAGCATGATTGATGGACCAGGAGCAACCAAACCAGCCCAAGTTCACCATAGAAAGAAAAAGACAAGCAAGAGCGATGAGTTCACAAGGAGAGGACAAAATTTTACTGATTCTGACAATTATAGTGGAGGGAGAATGCATTGAAAGCATGTCAGGACAGCAGTCAAGAGTACTAGCCTCTTAAAAGCTGACAAGGGTGGTAGTGCTCCTGCGTGCTTGCTTCTGTTTTCTTTCATTTCCATGTTCTCTTTTCAATGTGTTTAGGCTGTCATTGCTGTTTTTTTTTTTTTTAAGTGTTACCTCCTTCATTCTCTCATTGAGATTGGGTGAAACCTGGATATATTGACTTAATATAATATATTTTATAGCATTCCCTTCGTTTTTAACCCTGGTTCCCAGCTTAAAACTTAGTTTCCATCAACAATTCATTTTTTTTTTTTCAATCATAAATCAATTCTCCATGCAACAAAATTTTGGGCGGGTGGGGGAGGTGGGGGAACTTGGGGCAATGATTCTACCTCTCTCATGTAAGATATCTGCTGAGTTGGGTTCAAACTCTAATGCCTTGGTCAAGTCTTCAATAGCCTGAAGCAAAGAGAAAAAAGGTTGTCACGTTTATGGATTGTTATATCTGCAAGAAACATCATACAATACTTGCAAGAGTGGCACCACAACAGGTATCGAATGTTTTCTTCATATTTTAGATTTCTTTTAGAACAAAATCCAACATCTCATTGCACACGGAAAGACATGAATCCATCACTCTTGCTGCAGTAGTTTCAGGCTAACAGAATTAATTGTCAAAAAACTTAACTAGAAGCCTGAACTTTTCAGTCAGGGGTGGACCTAGAGCGGGCAAATTGTGGGCAAACCCCCCCGGGAAAAAAAAAAAAAAGAGAGAGAGAGTTGCCTATAAACAAGTAAAATATCCATCTGACGCTATCCCCCGAAAGAGTATTCTTATTCAGCAGCCAAAAAAAAAAAAAATTAAAATTGGAATGATGCCCAGCAACTAATAAGCGATGCAATATCAACTCACTAGAATATCACTTCCCTTTAGAGCAGGAACACTCATCCTTATAAATGAAGGACCAGATAATAGATTGGGTCCGTTGAAATCAGTCTTCCTTCATTTTTTTTTTTAAAAATAAAAGTACTCTACATATTGACTATAAAATAGATTTTATAAAATGAATTCTAAGAATAACCAACAATGTTCTCACTCTTACTATTTCACAAGATTCATTTCTTTTATTAATTCTTTAATTCTTTAATTATACCATATAATTATTGTAGAAATGCAATTTTATAATGATGTTATAACAAATATAAATGATGACTTTTTTCTAGTCAATAGTGTTGCATATATAGAGAAAAAATTACCAAAAGAAATGGATGAAATTATAGAAAAGTTATGCGCAACTAAGAATCGGTGAATATTATTTTTGTGTCTGTCTGTCTGATAATACCTGATCACCTTTGTCATATTTTTTATATCAAGATAAATATACTTATTCTATATTCTGGAGCCATTAACTCTATATGATTTTTTTATTTTTTTAATTTATATTTATTTTTATATTTAATAAATGTTATTATTTAAGTAATTAAATGATGTTTTTCAGTTTTGGGTTCCGTCCCTGTTTTCAATGATGCAATGCCAGAACCCGTACAAACTTAACACCATAGTTACAACAAATACCGGATATTATTGCAATTTTCTATAATAAAACTAATCAATTTTATGAATTACCAAAACAGTGTTGCCAGACACAGTGTGAAGCCTTTTTTAACTTGGAAGCTAAGATGAATAAGAAGTCAAACGGCAATCATATGAAGGTAAAATTTCAATTGACAGAAATTATGATATAATAACCAAGTTAAGTCATCCTTCACCTCAACAAACTCCCCCAACGCAGCCCGGGCCTGACCTCTCCTTTTCCATGCCTCACCGGCAGCTGGATTACATTGTATAGCCTAATATATACATCATGTAAACTATAAAAATAAGGGAAAACGCCCATATCTCTCTATACCTCACAGAAAGTATTTGCTTCAATACCTTAGTAAAATCAGCTATAGCAGCATCAAGTTCCCGCTGAAAGGCATATGCTGTCCCTCTTCCTATTAGAGCCTCAGGATATTCAGGGTCCTCTTTCAGGATCTGAGTATGGATGGAGACAAGATTACAGTTGATTATATGGAAGGAAAAAGAAGATAACCGCTTGAAATATATAGAAATGATGAGTAAATATCACTAGTGAGGATTGGACCTGGTCAAAAATGGATACTGCATGACCATATTTTCCTTCATTAACCTGCAAAAGGCTTTGAAATGTTAAGTAAACACCTCAATGCAGTTACAAAGCATCTGTCATACAATTATAATTATAATAACTAATTAAAAGCATGACACAAACCTCTGCTATACCCCTTGAGAGTCGAAAATCTACACTGATGGACTTTGACTTTGAAATCCGAGCGACACAAAACTTCTTATTTCTCCTTCCTTCATCATTTATTTTGAGGGAAAAATTTAACTTATTACTTGGCTTTCTAAAAATTTCCGTGATGTCAAATGAGTCACTATTTGTAGATACTTTTTCACATGATTCCGAGGTGTCACTTGAGTCATTACATGATTCAGAATTATAACTCAACTTATCAAGAATATCAGGGCTTCCATTAGCTTGATCATCAAATTTATTTGAGTTCCTATCTTCATCATGTAATTTATTTCTTGAATCAAATTTATCATCTCGCTTCAGGCAGATCTCAGATGTATCAGTAGCAATATCACACAATTCACCAGGATTGCTCAACCTATCTTTAGTATTAGAGTTTTCACTTAAATTGCTGCTACTGAGAGAAACTGTTTCAGATTGAAGCATGGAAGCCCCCAGTGCTTCATGCTGTATGTTGCAGCCTTGTTTTTCTTTTGTCAAAAGTTCTTCAAGTTCTAGCATCTGCTTCAAATCTGCAGACTGATGCAGAGCATGCTCATAGCCTTGCTCCCATACCAACAGAGCATCTTCTTTCTTCCCCAAAGCAGAGAGCGCATGACCTAAATGGCAGAATAAAACCAGCATAAGTTCAAATGATGGGACATTCACCTATCTGTGCGTGAGAAAATTCACTTAAACTTCCAATGCAAACAAAAAGATTGCGCCACCATAAATTGTAAATATCATGAACAAACTCAAGTGATGATATTTCCAACGTTATCATTATTAGCCAGTCATCAACCACGCTAACTCTCAAGTGAACCTAAATCATCACATCCTTGATGCTGCAGTGATTTAATCATTTCATCAATAACAATTATTCACCTATTTAACTAATAATGAAAGATCGCTTATCAGGAAATGTCAAGAGAATAGAAACTACACCAATCTCGCCACCAGATGAAGTGAAGGGTGACAGTAAATTTTAACGTATAGCACAGTAGAAAATTGGCTTGGCACACAGAATGATCCTCACTCCGGGGAACTTGTTCAATTATAAATTTAAGCATTGATTATGCTGAGTTAGCCGCAGAATGAATTAAAGCATAGATAACGATGGGGCAAGAAAAAGCAGTCAAGGCAACTGAAAACTTGCGAATAATTGGACACGAAGAGAAACCTTTGAGAATGTAAGCTTGAAGACGCGCAGGGTCAAGCTGAAGTGCTCTGTCGCAATCCTTGATTGCGTGTTTATGAAGCTCTAATCGGCTGTAACAAAAGGCTCTGTTGCTAAAAGCAACGTTGAGAACAAAAATGGCACATATAATTAGTTCGCAAATTCACGATAATTAATCGCGAAAAGTGAAGATCAATCGAGCAACAAATCGAAGAAAAATGGAGCTTGAAGGAAGTGTGATACACACCAGATGTCTTGGACTGCAGAAGACTGAGAAATAAGCGAATCAAGGATACGAATGGCCTTGGACCACTCCTTGGAGCTGCAGAGCCTGGCCAGCTGAACTCGCTCGGAGATAGCAGGAGCCATGGGTAAAGAGAAAAGAATCGAGGTGCACGGATCAGAAGGCTGAGCTTGTTGTGGATTACAGGTCGTGCTTCGAAGTTTCAACTTTCAACGGGTCCAATTACGATAGATTTGGGGCTGGAGACAGCAAGGGGTAAAATGGAGAATCTGACGGTTTGCCCGGAGCGCAGGAAAGTAAGAGGAAGGAGAAAGCGAAAGAGAAAAAGAAAACGGCGTTAACTGACGCCAAATGGGTTATAATGAAACAATGACTAAAAGAGGTGTTTTTAATATAAACTAAATTATAATTTTAAAAATAATTTTATAATATATAAAATAAATATATGGAGCATTTGGGAAACTTTTTATGATATTTAAATATCTCCAAAAATTAACTGTTTAAGTAGAGGAGGCCAGGATTTTTTTAAAAAATAAAAATAAAAAACTGTCTCAGGTAACGATCGTCACGGAGACAATTGGACTGGGCCAAAAAGGCCGAAACCCCGCATACGGGCAAGTTATCAGATTCCGTGAAACACTTTCCCTCGTTTTTTACATTTATTTTATAAAAAAAAATTACATATGAGGCCTTAAATAAGATAATCTTGTCTATAAATAAGTCTTGTATACTTATAAAAGGATGCAGGTGCAACTTACCCGGAAAGTATTTATTCAACGGTGCTGGACACTTAAAAATTTAAAATTATAACAATTTTACCTTATTATAAAAACTAATGTTAATGATTAAAACAGTGACTTTCACTGTTTATATTTTTAATAATAGGAAGTAAAATTGTTACAGTTTTAATTTTCTGAAACAAATTTGTACTAAAACTTTTGAGTGCTCGGCCAGTTCTTCTAAATAAAAATTTTTAGAACAAATTTACACTTTAATCTTTGTATAAAAATAGAGTTAAGTCCCTAAAATCTGATTGTAATTTGTTGTAGTTGCAAAAAGATCACACTGTCCCAGCTACAGACGCATACATTGGTAAGTCACGAAATTTCAGTTTCAAATTACAATATTCCAGTTGTAAATTCGTAAGGACCAGTTATAGATATTATCTCCAGTTCTTAATACTACCTCCGGTCCTAATTATAAGACCCAGTTGACTTATTTGAAGAGATTAAGGAAGTAAGTTAAGTTAGTTATTTGTAATAAATAAGTGTTGTCATTCCTAAAATATCCTTGTTAATTAAGTGTATTGGCTAGAACTATTATTATTAGAAGGACTATCTTGGAAAAAAATGCATAAATATGAGAGACAAAATAGATTGGGGTCTTATTAATTAGGACCAAACAAAAAGTCAAACGGGGTCTTATATTAAGGACCGGAGGTAGTATAAGACATTATTTGACTTTTATTTTGGTCCTAAATATAAGACCCCAATTCATTTTATTTTTCATATTTATCCATTTTTTCCCGAGATAATCATTATAATAATAATAGTTTTAGCTAATAAATTTGGTTAACAAGGATATTTTAAGAAAGGCAACACATATTTATTACAAATAACTAACTCAAATTATTTTTTTAATCTACTTAAATTATTCAACTAGTTTTTATATTTAGGACGAGGGTAATGACATTTCTGCGGGCTTGTGCTTGTAATTACAATTGAGATTACGGCAAGTTGTAATCTTCACTGTGTTTTTACAATTTATTTATAAACGAGTCTCTTATCCTTTATCCTTTTTTCCAGTGAATGACACCTTCATTGACATGGGAAAAAGATACACGATATACATGCGGAGTCATGTACAATTAACAGTAACGCAGGGAACGGGAAACTAATGAAATATTTGATTACCATTGATGAAAGATTTGATTGTAGTTTATATAAGATTTTATTTAAAGTTTAAATTGAAAACTCTTATACTACCTTCGGTCTTATTTATAAAACTTCGTTTACAGCTTACAAATAAGATCTTATAATTAGAACTAGAAGTAGCATAAGATAATCAAACAAGAAATAGATAGTCTAGTGTAGTGTAATATGTTATCTATTTTAAGATATAATATCATGTTCAAGCTATATGTATTCTTACACAAAATTGTTGGTGACTTGATATTGGTATTTTATGGAGTATTATGGGAATTTTGTTAACTTTAAATTAATAATATTTAAAAATTTACCATCACTCTCAAAACTTGTATTAAAAAAAAAAGCTTGTAAAACACTATACTGGATCATACATTACAAACTCCATCATAAAAAAAAAATACTTTATTAAACAAATACATATTTAATTTAACAGCATATTTTATTGTTCAATTATAAAAATGTACATTTAATCTATTTGTTCACTGAGTATAAAAAGAGACGCTTATCTCTTTGTTCATTGGATGTATTAATGAACATGCACTCATCTTTATTAGTCATTATACTACCTCATGTCCTTAATATATAAGCTAATTTAACTTTTATTTTAACCCTAATTATAAGACTCTAATCCACTTTGTCTCTTATATTTATTTATTTTTTTCCAAATTGATCCTTCTAATAATAGTAGTTCTAGCCAATATAATTAATCAGCAAAGATATCTTGGAAAAGATAACATTTATTATTACAAATAACTAAGTTAACTAGTTTTTTTAATATACTTAAATTAGTCAATTAGCTCTTATATTAAAAATATGAGGCCGTATATATTGAAGTCATTTATTGAATGGCCAATAAATAAATCTCTCCCGTCTTATAATATAATTCATCAAATATGTGCATCAACAATTGAACATCTTCTATGTGAATTAACATAATTTTTTTCAAAAATAGAAATCATATAACACCATACGAACGGCATTAATGCCGGGAAGAGCATGTTCCGGAGACAAAGGAAAACGATTCAAAGCTCGTTTGACTTTGTTACAAGAAATTTAAAAATAGCCTTTACTGAATACTAATTTATTTTGAGTATCACATATAGAACTGATTTTTCTTTTTTCTTTTTGCAAAAAGTAGTAAAAAGTTGGGAAATCAACTTTAGAACAGATTTTGAGTGCACCTGCCGACGGCCGACGACATGGGAAAAAATAATTAACGGCGCTGGAAAATAACATAGATGGCGGTGGTGGATAGTGGTCGGTAAAGGATGACACTGATAAAATAATAGAAAGTATGTGATCTAATGTTTAAACCCTTCTCAAGGTATTTAAAAAAAAAAAAACTTCTAATATAATGAAAAATAATGAAAATGACTGGATATGGGTATTTTTTTTCATTTTAGTTCTATTGCGTACCTGTTAGACTAAAATGGTTTAATATAGTAATTATGCGGATCAACATTGATTAAGTAATGAGAATAGTCATTCTTATTTAAGCAATTAATCTTGTTGTAATATTAAGCCATGGCCTCATTTTTACATAAAAATTATGCAAATAATAGGAATATAGTGGGAGACAATTATATACATTAATATTATTACACAATAAGGAGTTATATATGTGTGTTAGCATGCGCCTTATAACACATAATCCTGGTGATCTTCATGACAACACATAAGCTCACCCTAACAATTAAGGACATATTTGTAACAACCCTCTCACTATCATTCTCTGTCCATGATAGCGTTAAGGCATAATATAAAATGAAAAATGCACTGTTAAATTTTTAAGATCAGTCAAGCATCTATCTATGAAATCTCTCAATTTTTTCCTCCAATATTTACTGAATTTTGGAAGCACAAGTCTTTGTAGCATATTTCCACTCTTGCCATGGACCAACAGGGAATTGCCCGTTTTTGGGGCAACCTAGATAACGGAGACAGAAATGCATTAGTCTGGCTGGGACATTTCTGGTGCCGTGTTATTGGGAGTTTAGGAGCCTCAAAAGTCTTAAAAAAAAAAAAGTAATTTTACGTAAGTCTTCTTACATACTAATTTCGTACAATATAAAATTATTTCCAAAAAACTAATTAAAATACTCTTATGATCGGGCGTGGCCGAGGGGGTTATAAATCAAAATTAAAGGTTATTATGGCTTTGTCCTGGCGCTTTTGTTAGCGGTTTTCATAGATGATTGTGAGAAGAAAGGAATATTAACATGGGTTGGGATTGTGTGGCGTGAGATAAACTTATCATAAAGTCGTCCTTACTTGCCATCGAATCAAAACACAGAGTTAAATGACAAGCGGCGCTGCAATTCCGTTTATTAGTCCTGTTGACACCGTAAATTATCATCTCTGAGTCTGAACAACACAGATGGGACGGCCCGTGTGTAAAATTTAACAGCACCTTATACTCCCCCCCAACAGGTTATTTTTGTAAATATAAAAAATCTAAATTATTATATTTTATATTCCAAATAAAATACCATAATAAGAATTATAAAGGTACTAGTAATAAATAATTTTGAAAAGATCACTATAGAGTTTTAAAGAAAAAATATGATTACCAGAGAGCCTCACAAACAAATAAAAACATCAACCTGTTGTTATTTTTTATACTGAGATTTGTCATTGCGGCTCACATGTATCATTTTTTTAATGATTATATTTGTTTTATTCAGATCTCATAAATTTTTAGACAGATTTATCAGGACCGTCCATATCAGAGAGGAGATAAGTTTTGAGTGCTCATCTATCCGTTTATGATCCATCATTGTCTGATTCTAACCATAAGCTAGTCATCTCAAAGTATCAATTTCATGGCTGGATGGCAGAACCTCGCTACAATTTTTGGTTTGGCATCAACATCTAATGATCTAAACACTAAATAGCACTCCTTCAGTCTTAAATATGTGTATAAAAATTTTATATTTAAAACCGGAGCAATAAATACCAATGTTCCTGCATCGAGGACTCCGCCATAAATATTCCCCCGGTCAATGCCTACGTCATAGTTAGAGGGTTATTTTATTTTATTTTATTTTGGACCAGCAAAAGTTAGAGGGGTTAATAGCTTTACTTGGCAATTTTTAATCAAATCACTATAAAGACATAAAAAGTTAATGGCCCACACCTAAATTGTTTCCACATGTGTGGCCCCAAAACATGTGCAATAAATTAGGGTTATTAAGAAAAAATAATTTGAAAATATCTTTATATATAAAGGTTATACGTATATTTTTTTTAAAAAATAATCTCTCTCTTATTAGTCTTCTTTTTTCGGCACAGTCTTATTAGTGCTATTATTAATATATTAATAACATATATTTAATATGCAAACTAACATTAAAAAAATTGTGGGGTTTATGTGCTTAATCAAGGCCCAAGAGGGCAATTACTGTTAAAGAACACCCAAAGTCCAATTCATCTGGATGATCTAAACATTTTGGACCGTAGAAGGTACTCCAACAAACAACTACCCAAGAAAATAAAACAGGACAACAAGAAGGGAAAAAAAAAAGGTTGAATAATCACCCTCCTGGCACTGCCAGGAGCCACCTATGGCTGTGCCTTCCGCCTTCCGTCCTTTTGCGAAATAGAGACACACTGTTCCTTTTTTAAAATCTAGAATACAAACACTAGGATTTAGTGATCATTCCATTACACATATTGTTTAAATCCTTACTATGTATAGTTTGTTCCCGCACGCGGCACGCCGTTACGTCACGCCACAATATCCTCCCTGATGTGCCTGAGCACCAAGGGAATTACGATGTCCGGCGAGCTTAGCTGTGGCAAATGACCGTCCGTCGACATGACCTCCACGATGGAGTCGGCGGCGATGTGTTCGTGGAGGTACTCGGAAACCACCACCGGAACCGCCAAGTCCTTCACGCTCTGAAGTATATGGCACGGAACTGTGATGAGCCCCAGAATTTGCCGCATATCGCTTTGGAAAATCGTCTGTGCCACGCTCAGCGCTATGTCCGGTCTCATGTTGAACAATGTCCTGCTAAATTCCTGAACCGCCACCGACTCCAATTCCCCACCCACCGCTAGAGGAGCGAACCCGGCGCACCACGCTTTGTAATTCGCCCCAATTGCATCGAACAGCTGGTTCAGATCTTCTTGCTCAAACCCTCCGTAATAATCCACGTCGTTCAAGTACCTTGCCCAGACAGAAACCGCACGCAGAATTTGAGATCAGTTGAGAGTATAATTACATTCCTCGTCAGATAAGAGCAGTTTGTAATGTTTTACCTAGGGGAAGCAGAGATCATGATGAGCTTGGAGAATAGATCAGGGCGAGTGATGGAAGCAATAGCACCTATCATGGCGGAAACAGAGTGGCCAATGAAGATGCAGGAATCAATATGGAGCTCTTCTAAAATGGCGATAAGATCGTAGGCGTAGCCTTCGAGCGTGGAGTAGCGTTCAAAATCAAAGTAATCGGGATTAGTGGTACCCGCGCCCATATTATCGTAGAGAACGACGCGAAACTCGTCGACAAGATGAGGGACTAGATGTTTCCAAACCGACTGATCCGTGCCAAATCCATGACCCAGAACTATAAACCTCGTGCCTGATCCCAAAACGTTCACGTTCTGAGCTTCTTCCACAATCCCCATTTCGCTTCCTTCTTTCTGACTCTGCCCGCCTTTTTCTCTCGAGGTGTGTATGTGCTAGCAGAGAAGTCTGACTTTGAGCAATGAGTGGGCGTGTTAGACCTGTTTGACGGTGATGACGCAGAGCCAGAACCACCACACCTAAATATGTGTTTAAGGGTGAAGACAACTCTCTCCCACTTTGGTTGGCTTCTGGAAAAATCTTGTTCTATAAAAGCAAGTCTACGATTGGCCATGATAGGAAGTTTAGAGATATGTTCGAAGGTTTTTGATACGGTGCGGGGCGGCGTATGGTGATGGGATAGATCCAAGGCATGATAGATTGATAACAGAAAAAGTGGGCTTGTCTGAACCGTCCATGGGGCCTCACTTATTGTAGCTTGGCATTATCGCGGCAGCGAAATGCATTTACACGAGAGTCAATGAATTATAGGAAGGCCCTGGCCCACTGCTATTAAAACCTCAGTGGTCCAGCTCCAGGTTGTGGTTATGGCCTATTGGCTTTGTGCACACTCAGACAGCATGTGATTTTTTTTCTTTTTGTATTTTGTTGTTGTTTTTCCCCCTTTTGTGCGGAGTGAGAGAGTTTAGTGTTAATAAAAATAAAAGTAGCATTCAAACAAATCAATTCAATTGACATCAATGATAGTTCTTGATCTCTCAATATGGATATCGATTTAGAAAATATCTTTGAATTAAATTTGCACTGAAAAAAATCTTTGATGCTTACTACGCATCTTAGGCCTGGAAGCATCCTTTAATATCTTGACCTAAGATCTTTGGTGCTGTTTGGTATGAAATATTAAAAAATAAGGGATAGAGATTGAGATTGAAAGTGTAAAACTATATTAAAAGAGTGCTTAGTATGAGTAATTGCATGATACCTGGGATTAGACAAACCCATGTATGTGAGATTGGGGAATACCATAAGGGGAGGTGGTATTCTCCAATCCTATCTATATCAGATTGCCTAATCCCATGAAATAAAAAATTACTTATACTAAGTATCTTTTTAACATATGTTTTCAATCGCAATTCCAGTCTTTATCTTTCATTTTCAATACTTTGTATCAAACGTAACCTTAAAGTATTGAAATTAAAAAAATGGAGAACGTTTGTAATAGAAATTCGTAAGAAATAATCAACAAGGGTCCAAAAAGCGCTTGAATGGGTTTAACAGTTAAGGACAACTAATGTGAGGTAAACTACTGCGAGAAAAGAAAGGGGAAAAAAAACACAGAGTTGAGACCAACTATTCTTTAGTCTTGTAAGGAGGTTTAGTCATAGCCTGAACTAATTTAATGGCACGGTGAATTATACACACCCACACAAGGATCCATCAAGAATTTGGTTTAATATTTCATATTTTAAAATCAATTTAAAGTTACACATCTAGGTTGAATTTATATTAACATATATAATTTATAAAAAAGATTACACTATTTATAAGCTATTAAAACTTCTCTTTACCTCTTTTGCTCTGCTTTTTTTTTTTTTGGGTTAGGCACAAGTATTATATCATAGGAGGTAACCCTATTCGAGTTATTATCAAGCACTAAATGTATGAAGCTCTCTCAACAATGATTTAAATCTTGATTTGTCATGTTGTCAAAAATTAGCTTATTCACCCCACAATCTAATTATGATGAAAAATGCTAAAAAAAAAGATGGACTCAACATTCTTTTAGCACATTGGTACTCTTGTTAATTTTTTTAATAAATGGGCTAAAATGCCTAGTCCAAAGTTAAAGGCCCAAAATATTCCACTCGGCCCTTGATAGATGCCTAGTGCAAATGGACATTCTAAAGGGAGGGGAAAGACAAAGACAACTCGTGTTTGCAAAAGGCCCAAATGATAAGTAGGGGTGCTCAAGTGTGAACTCGTCCTAGCTGTCCCGTACCCGTCTCGGAGGTTTAGGGACGGGACAGTCCCGTCCTGAGTGAGGCCGTAATGGGACGCCACCGGGACTGGGATAGTAAAAGTCCCCCTGTTTTTTTAAAATAATTTTTATTGTTATTATGTCATTATGTGTAGTCTGAATGTCTGATTACTGAAGCTCGAGACTGAGAGTGAGACCCTAAGTCCTGTTAGTGTTCACTATTCAATGTTCCAATTCCTTATTTCATCCCCCTCCAAAGTCCACACCTAAGACCTCCACGGCTACGCCTTCACTGTCCCTTTTATTTTTTGAGTCACAAACTCATAGTGTTAGAGGTCGCTCATTCACCATCGTTCATCGTCATTCCTCACTGAGTCACTGTCACTCACCATCGCTCACCCTCACTAGCTCACCCTACTTCATCTTCTCCTAAATCCTAAATTCGTAAGTCTCAGCTTTTGAATCGGTGAATCTGAGCTTCTTACCTCTCGTTGTCAGTCTCATCTTCTGAATCTGAGCTTCTCGCCTCTTGCTCCATGCCATCATCGATCAATCACAGGCTCACAAGTCACAGGTCCCACCATCGCTTGCTCTGTTGATCACTCTCTATTCATTCATCATCCTTCCCATAGCAGTTCGCAGCAACCAACAGGTAAGTAACTTTGTTCTCCATCCGTTCATCATCCCTGATCCCACTTGCTTTGATGCTTGCCCTGTTATTGTCTACCCGTCTCCAAGCCCCAATCCCTTGTATTGTGCTGCTTCTTTGTTCCTTGACTTTATGTGTAAACCAGTAGGAGTTCTGAAAATGATAAAACTCTTGATTCTGAAATTTAGTAGGCTTTCTTTGATTGACTCTGCTGCTTAAAAACTGAAAATTGGGTTCACTATGTTTGAAAATTAGGTCTCTGATCTGTTCAAGTCATTTTAAATGCTTCAATGCTGCTTAATTTGTTTAATTTGTTCAATACTGCTTAATCTACTTAGGAAGACCGAAATGGCCCCTGTTGACACTACACCCACTACTAAAGAAAACATTAGAAATGTTGAAGGAGATTTGGAAACTGAAAGCAATGACTCAGCATCAATGTCTAATGAAGAAGCAACACAAACAGAGACCCCATATGCCTCAAATATTGAGGGAGAAGAGATACCAGCAAAAAGAATGAAAACATCTAATGTATGGCTGCATTTTGACAAGCTTCCTTTGGATCAAACTAAGGGAGAACACCGAGCTAAGTGCAAGTATTGCCCAGCTACAATTGCTTGTCACCCTACTAGACATGGGACAAATGGATTGCGAAAACATGCAAGGAGGTGTCCTAAAAATCCAAACAAAGCCAACAAGATGACACAATCATTGTTTACAGCCTCTCAACTAGGGTCCTTTAAATCAGTGACACATCATTTATTTACTCAAGAGCGGTGCAGAAGAGCTGTTGCAAAATTTATTATATTGGAGGAACTGCCTTTTCAGATTGTGGAAAGTGAGGGTTTTAAACAAATGATGAATGACATAGAACCTCGATTTCAAGTTCCCTCTAGAATGACTGCTACTAGAGATTGCTATAAGTTGTATCTTGAAGAAGCTGGAAAGTTGAGAAGTTATTTTAAAAAGGAAAAAGTTCATGTTTCCCTCACTACAGATACATGGACTTCCAATCAGAATGCCAACCATATGTCCTTAACTGCTCATTGGATTGATGAAGATTGGCAATCGCAGAAGCGACTCTTAAATTTTTCAGTAGTTGAAAACCATAAGGGTGACACAATTGCAGAAGAAATAGAGAAATGCTTATTGATATGGAATATTGACAAGGTATTCACTATCATCGCTGATAATGCTTCTTCAAATGATAGTACATTATCAACCTTGAAGGCAGTTTTCAAACATTGGAATGGTCTAGTTTGTGATGGGGAGTTCATGCACATACAGTGCTGTGCGCATATATTAAATTTGATTGTTTCTGATGGTGTGAAGGACATGCATTACTCTATTGATGCCATTTGAAATGCCATTAAATATGTAAGAACTTCTCCATCAAGGTTTCGAAAATTCAAGGAGCTTGTGGAAAAAATGAAAATTGATTCAAAAAATCTCTTGAGCATGGATAGTCCAAGTAGGTGGAATTCAACTTATATAATGTTGCAGAATACCATTAAATTTGGTAGCGTGTTTGATAGGATGGAGCAAACTGATGTAGAGTACAAAAAATCATTTTTAGAAAAGAGCTTAGTTGGTCCTCCTAATGTAGCAGATTTTCAAGTGGCTAGGTAGTTTGTTGCATTTTTGAAGGTGTTCTATAATGTCACTCTGAAATTTTCAGGATCACTTTATGTGACATCAAATATAGCCTTCCAACAAATAGTTAATGTGGTTGCCATTTTGAATAGAAGGGCAAATAATCAAAGTTCTTTGTTGTTTTCCATGGCTAAGAGTATGCAGATCAAGTATAACAAGTATTGGGGGAAGTTTGACAACTTTAATCCTTTGTTGGTGATAGAAGCGGTTCTTGATCCGAGGCATAAGATGAAATTTTTAAAATTTGCTTTTAAGGATATGTATAATGATCCTGCACATCGTGAAGACATAACAAAAAAAGTTTTAGATGTCTTGTATCGCCTATATAACCATTATTCAATTGTGCTTAGCATATCTCAGGCTGAAATTCGGACTGAAACTCAATCACAAGTGGCTTCTAGCAGTATCATAGACTTGAATAATATAGAATCCTTGGATATGGATGGAGATCACGCTTTCACTGCAATAGAAAGGTTCCTTGCACAAACTAAGATTGAGCTTCAAACAGATAAGTATGCTGAGGTGGAGAAGTATCTTCAAGGTGAGTTAGTTGAAGCTCGTGATCCTACATTTGATATTCTGGGTTGGTAGAGAGTCAATGCTAGCAAGTATAGAGTCCTTTCATTGATTGCTAGTGATGTGTTGGCGATGCCTATCTCCAATGTGTCTTCAGAATCAACATTGAGCATAGGAGGTCGTGTTATTGATGATTTTAGAAGCTCATTATCCCCTAAGATGGTTGAGGAGCTTATTTGTGCACAAAATTGGCTATCTCCATCTACTTCCAAGCTAAAAGGACTTGACACTGATGACTTTAATGACACTGATAATGTGATACATGGTAAATGAATTATGATCATATTATTTATTTTATAACATCAAATTTATTTGATTCTTAAAAATAATTATTTTTTTCCTGTTCTTTTCTTTCTTTGCAGATGAAGAAGTAGCATCAAATTTGATTGAACAAGAGCAAGAGCCAAAGAAATAGTGGATGACCAAATGTTGATTATTGCTGATTTGCTAGGCTTCTGAATTTGTGTTGTTGTATTTCTATCTTTGTGTTCATGTTGACTATTGAGTTGGATTTCTATCTCTGTGACTTTGTGTTGTTGTTTAAGACTTTAAGTTTAAGCATATGAGCCTATCTATGTATTTTGATTTGGCTGGAATGGATGCTGGACAACTAAACAAATTGTGTTAAAATTATTTCAGCCTCTGTCTTTGATTAATGCTTGAACTTCTTCTATATTTAAATGATTGTTGTAGCCTTCATGGATATTAGTTAGATTGAGTTTTATTTAATTTGCTTCAGGTGGTTGTTAACTTGTTATTATGTGTTTTGAAGCTGTAAATTTGCTTCAGATATCACTACTAAAGGGGTTGGAACTTTGTCACAGTTTCACTATTTATTGGAAAAAAAATAAAAAGACAAATATGAAAAACGTCTTTTTTTTTTTCAGGTTGGTTAATCAGGTGGTTTGTGTATTTTCCCAATTCCCCACCTTCTCTTGAAATGTGATTCATGTGTTTGAAGTGTTTGGAGGGATGGATTTGAAAAAAAAAATTCATAGGCCCAATAGATTTAGTTCAGCCCAATTTATTCCCATTGGGTACTAGCAGGAAATAAAGGTGTTGGGCCAGGGCATTGTAACCATAAACCCATTGGTGTAGCCCAATTTGAAGCTCTATCATAGTGCCTTCTTGATGCAGGACGGGACGGGACGAGACACAAGACACATGACCAATTAACCTAGAGGGGACACAGGACAGGGTTGTCCCGGTCCTGTCCCATCCCATGTGTAGGCCTAATGATAAGCAAGGATAGGTGCCCCAGAATACGAAGTAAATATGTAGATGAATTTGCCTCGTTTTACAAAAAAATCTTCCAAAAAGCACTTTTGGGTGCTTCCAAATACCCCCTTGAAGACCAAGAAGATCAAAGCTGGTGGAGTGATTTTCAGAGACCACTCTAGGGAAGAGTTAAGATGGTTTCTATCGTATGGTTCAATCCCAAACCTGGTAGTTAAGATGGGTTTTTGATTCCATTTGGTAAATGTTTTGACTCGTCGTAAATTGAATTTTCTGAATGGAAGAATTGTGTATCTAATGTTACTGTTAATTTTGTCAGACATCTTAGTTCTTGGCTTTCTTATCTTTAGATTTCCCTGAATGTTGTTATTTTATGTCACATGATACTTTATGCCTATCCCGTTGGCAAAAAGGGGGGAAAAAGGATACTTTATGCCTATCAACTATAAAATTGGAAATTGGGGTTGACTGTAAGAAATACTTTTGGTTCAATTAAGTCGCTTGGGCGGTATAGATAGCGGCCAAAACATTCAAATCTCATGAAAACACACACATAAAAGAAATTCCTATTTTTCTAATGAAAAAAAAATAACCATTTTATTTTGTATTGCTGACATCATGAAGCAGCTTATTAAATAAAGTTTTTGGATATAATTTATTCAAGTGATTTTAAAATTCCAAAAATATTTAATGTCATGTGTTGGTTATGGAACATGATAATAATAACACAAAACTGTCTGAATTGTCCCTGCTTTCATATACCCCATAATATATTTCATAGTTGTAATTAATTGTCTTATCATAAAAATAACTGTGATGAGTTTTTACAAAAAAAAATCGATAAGTTTAATAATTCATCCTTGGATGCAAGTGTTGATTGTCTAAATGACATTATGGCTGAGTGAGCTTCTGAAGATCAAGTTACGATCCATTGGTTAAATGTCTATAAGAGTATGTTATAGCCACCTATTTATGGAAGTATGTCTCATGTTGAAAGGGAAAAAGGCTTCCTCATATCCTGGAAGTCCTCTAATTTGAATCATTGACCATATCTGAATATAATAACTATTTTAGAAAATTATAGGACTTCAAATTTATATTGAGATAATTCATAACGTTACAATTACTATATGTAGGATTTTCTTGGAAAAAAATCTTGAGTGTTTGATTATACTCCCCCCACCCCCCGGAAAAAGGGATCATCTTCGTGCCTTTTGTTTTCTATTCATTGTTGAACACAATGTATTCTGGTGGGTATTTTGGAGCGGATGATTCTGTTGTTACGACGATTTTTATTCTTCTTAAGAATATGCATGTGCATAGGCAGACATGTATATTTAAATTTAGCAATTTTAGAACTGTGTAACAATATTTGTTTCTTTTGGCGGGCAAAAATAAAAATTTGTTTCTAAATTTAACTATCATATAACATGTGCTATGAAACATGATTTTGAATGATACATATTCAAGTGTTATGACATGAGTTTGAAATCTTCGGATAGTCTCTTCTTTGAGTTAAGGGGTATTTCGATGAAAACCAAATTATAATTTTAAAAGTAATTTTACGATATACAAAATAAATATGTAAAAGAGTTTGTCTTGATTTGTGAAAATATGCTTTTTAGAAACACTTTTGTGTAATGCCAAACACTCCCTTGGCTGGAATGAGTTGTTTCCTCTCAATGGAAGTATGGTTGGTTTCTGACTTTTCCTCTTCCCTCGCGGCACACAAACGACCACACCTGACTTAGGTTTCTTTAAAACTCCTTTGGTAAAGGGGGGAAATGGAAGGAAGGGGAGAAATTTTTTTTAATAAGTTTATTTTAAAAAATAAAAAAGTAAGATTTTAAAATTTTAATGAAAAGAATGTGTAAGATAAAAGAATAATATTAAATGAATAATTAAAATTTTAATAAAGAGAATGTACAAGATAAACAAATAATAAAATGAGTAATTTATCTTGCACATTCTCTTTATTAAAATTTTAAACTACCATTTCTCTAATTTCTTCCCTCTTTTTTTTAATAACTATTTTCCTCATACTAAAATGGGGTAAAGTTATTCTAGCCACGTTTTTTATTGGGTAAACCTCTAGCTGCGTTTTTAGTCATGTGTAGGGGTGAGCAAATAGCCCATAACCCAATAATTTTTTGCCTCTTAAAGCCTGCCCAATTAGCCCAAATAGAAGATAATAAACAGGCTGACTTAAATGGGCGGGGCAGCCCATTAAACGGGACGGGCTATGGGCAAGGCTTCGGGCTACCCATACTCGCCCATTTAAGTTTTATTTTTTAAAAAAAATATATTTTTATTCTTTAGACCTAGCTTCTGCTGCCTTTCAAGCTTTCATTATCCATTTCTTTTCAGTTCCAGTTCCACTCTTTTGATTGAACTGCTCTCTCAGTGTCACTTTGCCGCTTTGCCGTCTTCGCTCTATGTTTGCATTTCTGCGATTCAACTTCTAGCCAGTTGCCCAGTTTGCTTCGAGCTCTAGCAATTTGTGAACTATAATTGACTCGTCTGCGAGAGTGAGGCCGTGACTTTGCATCTTCATGTGCGATATTGGAGCTCCAATGAACCAGTGATCATCTGCGAGCCTATGACGCTGGGTTGCTGCACCTTCATCTTTGACATTGGAGCTCCAGTGATCGTTTGTACTACGTCTTGCCATCTTCGAGTTTGAGACTTCGACTTTGACTTCGAGTTCTCCTTCTTGGCAGCTCCTCATAGTGGACTAGTGGCATCCCTCAATCTGTTGAAGATTGAAGCAAAGGTCGCTATCGCTGGTGCCTGGTAGCTCACTGTTTGATAAATTTTTGTTTTTGACTTCTCTCTGTTCCTCCATTGTTGGTCACTATCTCTTTGTTCCTCCATTTTGGACTTCTGGTAGCTCACTGGTCATGGTCACTATCTCGTTGATTGGTCAACCATATAAAGATGCTTCTGTTTAAAACATATGTCTATTACCCTAATCACAATGCTGCACGACAAATGTAAATTTAACTATTATTCTGTTTATGACTTACTTATATATAACTGTAGTTCCCTGTCTGCTCAATTGCCTAGTATGATACGCTGATATGTTTGAAATACTAGCTTTATCTTTGTTTTCTTACATAAACATGATTATAGTTCTCTTGGTCATTTCTCATTGTCATTGTGATTGATTTGGAATATAGAAGAAATAAGCAACTCAAAGTTTCCATTTGAGTGAATGCTTTTTCAAAAAGAAAAAAAAATTCAAAGCGTGTCGTTATTGTTTTTTTTTTGGGGTCAAACTAACGGTATCAACACCGGGTTGAAAATCAGGGAGTAACCCATTTTGAATATGCATCCACAAAAGAAACATTTAATAAAAGTAGACATTATAATTACAAGGGAGAATTAATATGCCGGTCCTTATTCTTTTCCTCAGTTTTTAATTAGGTCCTTATACTTTTTTTTTTTCATTTTATTGAATCCTTATTGTTTTAAATGTTAAAGGCGTTAGTCCTTCCATCTAAAATCTGTCAGACCAAGTTAGAGCATCAATGAAAGAAATTGACATGGCTTCTAGTTGGATCAGATGTGGCCAGATTGACTTGGAGTGAAGCCATATTTGTTGGCGTCTTTATTTCATTCCAAAAAAAAGCAGAAGAGATGAGTGTTGAGGATGAGCTTTGATGCAAGAGTTTTGTCTTTGGAGTAAACAAAATAGTAACAAGCTTTCAAAATAGCACTATTCATAGTCTCTGAATCTAACAATCAGGTGAGAGAAAATTGCTTCTATTCGTTGAGTT